AATAAAATTACTAAATTACTTCTTTAAGATAATACTACAAGATAATATTTTATCTATTAAAATCTGGTAGAAATAAAAAGATAGAGTCCTAAGCAACCAAAGCTAAATGATAACATCGTTTAGCAAATAAACACCCTGTCAAATCAAACTTTAAAAATTGAAGTCTTTTCCAACTCCTCTTTTTCTTTCACGTTCTTTTGTCATTTTCCCTTAACCATTCCTAAACTTTGTTTATTAATGAATCTTCATGCTTCCTTCCCTCACCTCACAACTAACCTCGATCTGTTCATCTCTCCGTTCTTGTTTCTCTTCTAATTCTTGCATTAGATGATAGTCGACCTTCGCTCTGTTACTGGAAGATATTATTGAATTTCTTCATTGTTGTAAAAACCTAGATGGTGGAAACGGTGGCAGAGGTGAACAAGCAAGTAAATGGTGTATATGATTAATTTTTCTTTCTACCTGATAGTCCATTTCAGTAGCTGTATTCAATTGTTTGTTAATTATTCAAACCTAGGCATTAAACTTAAAATCCTCTTCTGAAGGCCAAAGAAAAAAAAATTGCTATTCTCTTCCAATCGTTCAAGTATAATCCCAAATTTCTTCACCTAATTAGGCTGCTAATTTTTGTTTGTTCTCATTGCTATGGTTTGGGTCCTAATTTTTCCTTTGTGAGGTGCAGTTTTAATTAATTGTTTCCTTGAATTGGATAGACCTTTTTTGTCTCTAGTTTAATTTTTACTTATTATAAGATTAATTCATCTTTAAATTGATTTTAAAAAGTAACTTTACATTGACTTAATATATTTAAGAAAATTTATTTTATATTAAATTAAAATTTGAATCTAATCATATACTTAAAACATTTACTTATTAATAAATCTAACTCTTAAAGTTGATTTAGGATTTTATATATAGTAGGCACTTTGATGTCTTTTTCTTTTGATTCATTAGAATTTATATTTATCTTTTTTTCATAAAGTATTGTACCCTACGATATTGTTGTATCAGAGTGGAACATGATAGTGAGTTCAAAAAAGAATGGAACATGATAGTTGTAAAGTGAGTTTCGATGGAGATTTGATCCCAGTGTTCAGAAATTTCATTTTGACACTCTATCTCAAGAACTCTTGGATTGGAAGGCTTTTAGGTATTAGAGCTCAACCATTCATTGAAATTATAAATTTTTAAAAAATTTGATGTATTCGATAATATTTCAGTATAAATTGAGTTAACAAAAATCTACTTTAAAAATTAAATTTTAATTTAATTAAATTACTAAATTACTTCTTTAAAATAATACCACAAGATAATATTTTTATCTCTTAAAATCTAGTAGAAATAAAAAGATGGAGTCATAAGCAACCAAAGCTAATTGATAACATTGTTTAGCAGATAAATACTATGTCAAATCAAACTTTAAAAATAGAAATCTTTCCCAACTTCTCCTTT